ATCATCATCATCACCACAAAGTGCTTACTTATAATCACTCTTCTCATTTTCTGTGGACATGGTGGTTTTCAAACAAAGCAGGTGCCTCCACTTCAGATGCCATTAGGGAATGAGACACCATTGCCCCAACTCTAAGTTGCATGGCCTTTGAAAAAGCCAATGACAGATTGGGGGGAAAGGACTGATTCCCACCAAGACATTGAACCAAGATTCCTTTCCAAATCTATCATCACCATCACCACCACCACCACCATAATCACCATCGTCAACATCATCATCACCATCATTTGCTTACTTATACTTATTCTCCTCATTTTCTTTACATATGGTTTTAGTACAAACGTAATGACTTTTCCCTCCTCAATTTTTGCTCATTTTGTGTCATTGTATGTAAAATGGGGGAACCATAGTCCATTTTCTTTTTCATTTGACTTCTAACTATTGGTGGCTCACTGCTGCCTCTTCCCCATCTGCCACACACAGGGAAAATCAGATAAGAAGTCATAGTTTTCCTTTTTTATTAAAAAGTTATTTGTTAAAAAATATTTCCCTCCAATTCTGATGACATAGCAAATTAAACAAGGAATGAGGTTTCAAAGCAGTAATCAATCTGATCTGTTTCTATAGATGGTGATACAGACCTCGTTAGGTCTTTTGTATATTCTACTAAATGGTGGAATACAAATTCAATTCATTCACTTCATAAAAGGTAAACATCATTGACATACTTCAGACCAAAAATCTTTATCAAGCTTGTCTTCAAATGTGTTAGAAAGTCAGACAATATAAAATAATATTGATGTAAAAGAGCATCTAAGCAATGCCTTTGGTTTTCCTGTTTTTGTAAAATCCGGTCAAGTTTCTGCACTGCTCACGGAGCTCCAGTTGTGTTTCCTCTGAGCTGCCAGCCTCCCCTGTCAGGTGACTGGGGCACAGAGAACAGGAGAAATGTCCTCCGATCCCAGAGCTCAAGGAGGGACTGGTTTCTGACAGGCTTCAGAGTTCTGGGAACTTCAAATGAACACACAGAACACAGACACTGACCAGCGGCTTTCGGAAATGTACACTCAACAGGGAGACCTGGGGAGCTGGACACTTTGGGACAGGAATTGCTTTCTTTCCACGGGCCAACCAGTCAGTCTTGTCTCAAGTTTCTTGAGGAGCGACAGCCCTCCTCAAGTCCATCTGCTGTTTATGCCTCTGCTTCTGCATGGTGTCCACGACTCAGGGAGCTGTGAGCATGATGACAAGGCAGGGACTGTCACCCTGTGAGTCTTTCTTCTGTAGCTTTGGGGTCACACACATGTGGTGCCCACGGTCCACATGCAGGGAGCTGCACTGTTGAGTCATTAGAGCCTCTTTTTGGATGCAGGCGACATGGGTCTGAAGATTCAATGTTAGAACTCATTATGGCACCGTGTGCATGAAAGAGGTTCTCTACCTTCTGTTCACGTGAGAAGGTTGTCTCTCTTCACAACAGACTTTTCTCATTCAGAGACTCAGACGTCAGCGAAGAATCAGGCCCCAGAGGTTCCCTGAGGGAAATTGTGACATGAGAAGGAAACCACACAGGAACCAGCCCAGACCTCCAACTGCACCTGGTGCTGGGATGGTCCTTGTGTTTAGGGATTCTGAGCGCCTTCTTATGTCTAGGGAGCCCCCTGCAGCCCAGCCCAGCTGCCTCCTCAGGAGGTTTGTGTCTGGGCTCACACTGACTTCCCCTCACTGTGTCTCTTGCACAGTAATACAGGGCCGTGTCTTCAACTTTCAGGCTGTTCATTTGCAGGTACAGTGTGTTCTTGGCGTTGTCTCTGGAGATGGTGAAGCGGCTCTTCACAGAGTCTGCATAGTATGTGCTACCACCACCACTATTAATGTATGCGACCCACTCCAGCCCCTTCCCTGGAGCCTGGCGAACCCAGTTCATCCAGTAGCTACTGAAGGTGAATCCAGAGGCTGCACAGGAGAGTCTCAGAGACCCCCCAGGCTGCACCAGGCTTCCCCCAGACTCCACCAGCTGCACCTCACACTGGACACCTGCAAACACAGAGACACAGGGGGACTTAGAATCACATGGAAGCACAAACAGGCACAGGCACAAGGCTCAGCGCTCCCCACTCCTGACAATGACCTTGGGAAATGATCAGGAGGAAAACACAGCTTGGCACCAAGTCCATGGTGGAGCCGCTGGGTCCTGTCTCTGGTGCTTGGGTTCTGGGTGTCTCCCCAACAAGCCGGGCAAGGGCCCCCTTTTATGAGCAGGAGGAGCGCCCCATTTGCATGGAGTCTGCATATACAGTGCAGCTGTGACCTGGGCTGCATGCCTGACCTTGTCATCCTAGGGGCAACCCCATATGGGAAAGGACTCAAGGATGCTGTCCACAGGGTCCCATCCTGACCCGCCCTCCCTCCCTCCTTTCCTGAGACCCATCACCCTGACCCCATTCCTTTGGGGGTAGCTTCCAGGATTGAGAGTCTTCTTTCCTCAAGGTTCTGATGAGACCCTAGGGGTGCTCTCACAGAGGCGAGTGGATGGGGCTTCCTCTCTTTCTTTCCTTCACCTGCCATGGGCCATGATGCCTTTTGGGGTTTGGGAATAAGACTTTACATTGAATGAAGGTTTTATTTTGATACTGAAAGATTCTTCTTGTTATTTTCCAAGACCAGATCCTCCACAAAACTCTAACATATACATGTGAGGAGGCAGGAGAGGCTGGGCTACACTCTGTGGCCGTAGCCTCTGTGTCTAACTTGCTGCTACTCTCACAAGTACACAGCTGCCTCCCAAAAGCACACATTTCCCTCAACTTCTCTGCTGTTCATGTGCAAAAGCCCTGTTTCCAGCCTCTCACAATGGAGAGCTTCCATCATTTACACATGGAGCCTGGCTGGTGGGCTCAGTGTTTGGAGCATCATCCCCACAACAAAGATTGGGAAGTCTTTAGAGTCACCACTACCATTCTGTGGAGGCAGCAGGTTTTATAATTGTGTGCACCTCCCTCTCCACACAGGAAGAAACCTGTGTGAACGTCTGTGGTAAATGAAGAGACAATACATTGATGTAAGAAATGTCCAAACATGGAGAACATGTTTATAAGATTTTATTGGAGCCAAACTGTCAACATTTGTTGGGGAGCTAGACCTTCAATACTCCGGAGAATAACCTTTTGCAGCTGTGATTATGCATTTGCAGTTAAGGAGGGAAGGAGAGGAGTGACATGGAGGTGGGAGAGAGCAAGGCAGGGCCTGGATGCCAGGACAATGAACAGGAGGTTCAGTTCTCTCTCTCTCTCTCTCTCTCTCTCTCTCTCTCTCTCTCTCTCTCTCTCTCTCTCTCTCTCTTCCCTCTCCTCTCCTCTCCTCTCCTCTCCTCTCCTCTCCTCTCCTCTCCTCTCCTCTCCTCTCCTCTCCTCTCCTCTCCTCTCCTCTCCTCTCCTCTCCTCTCCTGTCCTCTCCTCTCCTCTCCTCTCCTCTCCTCTCCTCTCCTCTCCTCCCCTCCCCTCCCCTCCCCTCTCCTCTCCTCTCCTCCCCTCCCCTCTCCTCTCCTCTCCTCTCCTTTCCTCTCCTCTCCTCTCCTAATGTTTATTGTTGAAGTATTACATATGTCCCCCTATTCTATCCATTATCCTCTCCCTGCTCACTCCCATTCCCTCCCCAGGCCCTCACCACCCCATTGTCTGTGTCCCCGGGTGAGGCAGATATGCAGACAAGTCCATTGGTTGATCTCTTTCCACCAATCCTCCTCTACCTTCCCTCTGAGGTTCCACAGTCTGTTCATGCTTCCATGTCTTTGAGTCTACTGCTGTTCATCAGTTTATTTGGTCCATGCAATGCAGATTGGTGCAGCAACTATAATAAACAATATGGAGTTCCATCTAAAAATTAAAAATGGAACTCCCATTTGACACAGTGATCCCACTTCTAGGAATACATCCTAAGAAACCCAAAACACTCATCAGAAAGAATGCATGTACCCCTATGCTCATAACAGTGCAATTTACAACAGCTAAGTTTTGGAAACAGCCTAAGTGCCCATTAGCAGATGATTGGATAACCATGGAACCTCTGCACCATGGAACACTATGTAGTCGTGAAAAATGAAAGATCTGTTAAAAAACATTTACTCCTGTAAAGAGTTTTGTGTGTTTATGTGAGCCAAATGTGGACATACATTGGTAAGCAGAACCTCAAGGAATTGAGATACTACTCTGGAGAATGGCGGGTTACATCTGTGTTCATACATTGCAATCAAAGAAGGAATGTATAATAGAAGGGTTACATAAAATTCATTGGTGATAGCTTAAGGAGGTGGGAGAAAGCAAAGCGGGAAGACCTCTGGGATAGGGTAAAAAGTGAAATGATGGACAGATGCATCTTTTCAGGATGGATACAGGATAGTATAAGATAATTAACAGCTGATGATTAACTTGATAATAATCACAATGAGGGAATGATCTGGTGCCATTTGTTGTGGGCTGAGGAGTCTTGGGGGAATAAAAGGAAGTTACAAGTTACCCAGTCATTTCACCAATATGTTGTCTTAGAAGCAAAAAGGCAAATGGGCTCAGTAAAGATCTAAGTTGATCTTTGTCAGGGAAAATACTGGCCAGGACATAACTACCCACCATAACGTGTGTGCAGTTACATATTTAATTTTCAAACCATCTTTTGTGGTTATGTGAGGTCTCAGAGTTTGTACAAATGCCATGCAGGCCTTCCCTGAGCTTGTCAGGTCAGCATGAGATCCATTTCATCCATAGAACAGAGTCCCCTTTTTGTTTCCAAACACAATCCCTAAAACTAGACCTAGGACAGGGCTTCCTGTGAGCTCTGTGGCTGAGCCTCTGAGCAAAACTAATTTAAGATGGAGCAGGAAGTGGTGTCTAACTCTCCACCTGCTCCTGGTCAGGGCCCTGTGCTGGTCCTGAGCGCCGCCTGGTGTCCTGAGCGCCTGCTACAGCCTAGCCCTGTTGTTTCCTTAGAGAGGTTTGTGTCTGGGCTCACACTGACTTCCCCTCACTGTGTCTTGCACAGTAATACACAGCTGTGTCCTCAGCTCTCAGGCTGCTGAGCTCCATGTAGGCTGTGCTTTTGGACTTGTCTGCGGTCATGGAGATTCTGCCTTGGAACTTCTGTGAGTATTTTGTGCCTCCACTTCCAGGGTAAACCCACCCCATCCACTCGAGCCCCTGTCCTGGGGCCTGTCGCACCCAGTGCATGTAGTAGCTGGTGAAGGTGTATCCAGAAGCCTTGCAAGAGACCTTCACGGAGTCCCCAGGCTGCCTCACCTCAGCCCCAGGCTGCACCAGCTGCACCTGGGAGTGGACACCTGTGGGAGGAGACAGGAGTCAGTGCAATACCCCTGCACTCTCCCTGGACCCTCATTAACCAGGACAGGAGCCCCTTACCTGTCGCCATGGCCACCAGGAGGAGGGTTCTCCAGCTGCAGTCCATGGTGAGGGCTGTGCTGGGAGCACTTCTGTAGGGGAGGGTGTGGCTGTGGGTGATGCCCTCAGGGCACAGACTTACCCACATTTAACCTGGTCTGCCTCCTCTTTTTTGCATATTCATGAGGCAGAGTATTTCATAGCTGAGGTCTTGACCCCATCTGAGAGATGGTGACACAGGGACCATGTTCTGGGGCAGTCTGAGGGTCCAAATCCTAGTTCTTTTTCCTTTAAATTGTACTTTCATTGTTGAAGGTATTACTCATGTCCCTTTGTGTACCCCATGACACCTTCTAACCCACCCCGGTGCCTCAGGCTTTCACCATCCTGTTGTCTGTGTTCCTGGCCTGGATTAAGCCTCTGAGCATACGCATTTGTTGGTTGACCTCTTCCCACCCACCCATCCTACGAGGATTTCCCTCTGATATCCCCCAGTTCGCTCCATGCTTCCAGGTGTCTGGATCTATTCTCTTCATCAGTTTATTTTGTTAATTTTGTTCTGCATATGAGTGAGATCATGTGATACTTGTCTTCTTTGACTTGCTTATTTCACTTAGCATGATGCTCTCCAGGTCCCTCCATGCTGTCCCAAAGGGTAAGAGATCCTTCTCTTTTTCTGCTGAATAGTATTCCGTGAGATAAATGTATGAGAGCTTCTTATACACTCAGCTACTCATGGGCACTTGGGCTGTTTCCAGATCTTAGATATTGCAAACTGTGCTGCTATGAACTTAGGGGTGCATACATAGTTTCTGATTGGTGTGTGGGGTCCCCTAGCATATACTCCTAAAAGAGAATTCACTGGGTCAAATGGCAGTTCCATCTTTAATTTTTTGAGGAAACTCCATACTGTGTTCCTAGTGGCTGCACCAGCCTGCATTCCCACCAGCAGGGTAGGAGGGTTCCCTTTGCTCCACACCCTCACCAGCAATTGTCATTTGTTGATTTGTTGATGGTAGCCATTCTGACAGGTATGAGCTGATTCCTCCTTGTCCTTTTAATTTGCATCTCTCTGATGGTCCTGTGACACTGAGAATTTTTTCTATGTCTCTTGGCCATCTGTATGTTCCTTTTGGAGAAGTGAGAAATTCAGTCCTTTGCCCATTTCTAATTAGATTGTTTGTCTTCCTTTAGTTAAGTTATATGGGTTTCTTATATATTTTGGATATTAATCCTATATCACATGTATCCTTGTGAATATGTTCTCTCATACTGTGGGCTCCCTTTTTATTTTGTGGATGGTTTCTTTTGCTGTGCAGACACTTTTTATTTTGATGTATTCCCATTTGTTTATTTTCTCCTTAGCTTCCTTTGTCCTGGGAGATGTATCTGTAAACTCATGGCTATGAGAGATGTCTAACATTTTCCTGCCTAAGGATTCTTCCAGGATTTTTCTGGTCTCCCTATTTACATTTAAGTCTATTAACCATTTTTGAGTTTACTCCTCTGTATGGTGTAGTTTGTGTATTGTTTTGAAATTTTTCACAGTTTTCTGTCCAATTTTACCAACATTTATTGAAGAGACTGTTTTGACTCTATTGTATGCTCTTGCCTCCTGTGAAATATTAATTGAGTGTGATGGCTTGGGTAGATTTCTGGATTTTCTGTTCTGTTCCATGGATGTATATACCTGTTCTTGTGCCAGTACCAGGCTGTTTTGATTACTATGGCTTAGGAGTATAATTTGATATCTGAAATTGGAATGCCTTCACCTTTTTTATTTTTTTCTTTCTCAAGGTGGGGTCTTTTTTTGTTCCATATAAATTTTTGGAGTATTTGTTGTAGATCTGTGAAATATGCTATTGCAACTTTTTTTTTTTTTTTTTTTTTTTAGGTTGGTCTTTTCTTTTTTTTTTAATTTTATTTATTTATTTTTATTTTTTTATTTTTTTTATTTTGAAGGAATATTTAATATTAACATTGTGAGTTATTATCTTTTGCATATCCAAGTTACACATTTCAAACAAATCGTCATTTATATTTACAGTATACAGATGCAAAGCTTTAATTTCCCACTAAATCATCACTTTCTTAAAATGGTACATGTGATGTTATGAAATTAGCTATTAAGCATTCGAAATAGTGGAAAAGAGGTCCTTTCTTCAGTCTTTTTTTTTTTAATATATATATATATATATATTTTGATTTCCCCCCCCCTCCCTCCCTCACATCCCTTCCCTCCCCAGAGTTTTATGTCCATTGGTTGTACTTATGTGCATGTATAAAAGTCCTTCGGTTGATCTATTATCTCCCCCAGATCTTCCTCCCCTCCCCACTGTAATTTGACAGTCTGCTTGTTGATATACTGTCTCTATATCTATCTTTTGGTTCATCAGTTTATAATGTTCTTTATTATCCACAAATGAGTGAGGTCATATGGTGTTTTTCTTTCAATGACTGGCTTATTTCACTCAGCATGATGTTCTCCATTTCCATCCAAGTTGCTGCAAATGATGAGAATTCCTTCTTTTTTATGGCAGCATAGTATTCCATTGTGTAGATGTACCAAAGTTTTTTGATCCAATCATCTGCTGATGGGCACCTAGGCTGTTTCCAAATTCTAGCTATCGTAGATTGTGCTGCTATGAACATAGGGGTGCATATATCCTTTCTGATTGGTGTTTCTAGTTTCTTGGGATATATTCCTAGGAGTGGGATTACTGGGTCAAATGGGAGTTCCATTTTCAGTTTTTTGAGGAAACTCCACACTGTTCTCCACAGTGGTTGCACCAGTCTGCATTCCCACCAGCAGTGCACAAGAGTTCCCTTTTCTCCACAGCCTCGCCAACACATGTCGTTTGTTGATCTGTTGATGTTGGCCATTCTGACAGGTGTGAGATGGTACCGCATTGTTGTTTTGATTTGCATCTCTCGGATAATTAGTGACTTTGAGCATGTTTTCATGTGCCTTTTGGCCTTCCTTCTGTCTTCTTTTGGAAATATTCTATTTAGGTCCATTGCCCATTTTTTAATTGGATCATTCATCTTCCTTTTATTTAGTTGTATAAGCTGTTTGTAGATGTTGGAGATTAAACCTTTATCAGTGGTAACATTTGCAAATATGTTCTCCCACATCGTGGGCTTTCTTGTTGTTTTGTTGATGGTTTCTTTTGCTGTAAGAAAGCTTTTTATTTTGATGTAGTCCCATTTGTTTATTTTCTCTTTAGCTTCCATTGCCCTAGGGGCAGTATCAGTGAAGAAGTTCTTTTGGCATATGTCTGAGATTTTGATGCCCGTGGATGCTTCTAGTATTTTTATGGTTTCCCGTCTGATGTTTAAGTCCTGTATCCATTTTGAGTTTACTTTTGTGTATGGTGTAAGTTGGTGATCCAGTTTCATTCTCTTGCATGTATCTGTCCAATTTTCCCAACACCATTTATTGAAGAGACTGTCTTGACCCCATTGTATATTCGTGCCTCCTTTGTCAAATATTAATTGAGCATAGTGATTTGGGTTGATATCTGGGTTCTCGATTCGATTCTATTGATCTATATGTCTGTTTTTGTGCCAGTACCAGGCTGTTTTGAGAACAGTGGCTTTGTAATACAGTTTGAAGTCTGGTATTGAGATCCTTCCTACTTTACTCTTCTTTCTCAGGATTGCTGTGGCTATTCGGGGTCTTTTATTGTTCCAAATGAACTTTTGGAGAGTTCTTTCTATGTCAGTGAAGTATGCCGTTGGTATTTTAATGGGGAGTGCATTGAACCTATAGATTGCTTTAGGAAGTATGGACATTTTGATGATGTTGATTCTACCAATCCATGAACATGGTATGTTCTTCCATCTGTTTACATCTTCCTCTATCTCTTTTTTCAGTGTCATGTAGTTTTCCGCATATAGGTCCTTTACTTCCTTAGTTAAATTTATTCCTAGGTATCTTAATTTTTTTGGTGCAATGGTAAATGGAATTGCTTTTTTAGTCTCTGTTTCTATAAATTCGCTGTTGGTGTATAGAAATGCCATAGATTTCTTGGCGTTAATTTTGTATCCTGCTACATTGCCAAATTCATTTATTAAGCCAATTAGTTTTTTAATGGAGTCTTTTGGGTTTTTTATGTACAATATCATGTCGTCTGCAAATAAGGATAGCTTTACTTCTTCTTTTCCAATTTGGATGCCTTTTATTTCCTCCTCTTGTCTAATTGCAATGGCTAGTACTTCCAGTACTATGTCAAAGAGGAGTGGCGAGAGTGGGCATCCCTGTCTTGTTCCTGTTCTTAGAGGGAATGGTTTTAGTTTTTGCCCATTGAGTATGATGTTGGCTGTGGGTTTATCATATATAGCTTTTATTATGTTGAGGTATGATTCTTGTACTCCCACCTTGTTGAGAGTTTTTATCAGGAAAGGGTGTTGGATTTTATCAAATGCTTTTTCTGCATCAATTGATATGACTATATGATTTTTATCTTTCAACTTGTTTATGTGATGTATCACGTTTATTGATTTGCGGATATTGTACCATCCTTGCATTCCTGGAATAAATCCTACTTGGTCATGGTGTATGATCTTTGTGATGCTCTGCTGGAGCCGATTTGCTAGAATTTTGTTGAGGATTTTGGCATCTATGTTCATGAGGGATATTGGCCTGTAATTCTCTTTCATTGAGTTGTCTTTATCTGGTTTTGGTATTAGGGTGATGCTGGCTTCATAGAAGGAGTTTGGAAGTGTTCCTTCCTCTTGGATTTTTTGGAATAATCTGAGGAGGATAGGTTTTAGTTCTTCCTTGAATGTTTGGTAAAACTCTCCTGTGAAGCCATCTGGCCCTGGGCTTTTGTTTGCTGGAAGTTTTTTGATGACTGTTTCAATTTCTTCCCAAGTCACTGGTCTATTTAGATTTTTAGATTCTTCCTGATTGAGTTTTGGAAGGTTGTATTTTTCTAGGAATATGTCCATTTCCTCCAGGTTGTTCAGTTTATTGGAATAGAGCTGTTCGTAGTATTTTGTAACAATCATTTGTATTTCGGCGGGATCTGTTGTTATTTCACCTCTTTCGTTTCTGATTTTGTT